CTACCAATCACTGTTTTTATATGTGAACAGAGGCCGACGCAAATGGCTATTCAGTATAGCATCAACACCAATCTCATATGTGACTCTACCAATCACTGTTTTTGGGTGTGAACAGAGGCCGGCGCAAAAGCTATTCAGTATAGCATCAACACCAATCTCATATGTGACTCTACCAATCACCGTTTTTTTTTGTGTGTGAACATGTTAGACCTAAATTGTCAGAAACAAACCCTTAAATTTTCTATTAAAATAAAAGGCACTGGGACTAACATTGAGCTGAAAGCAACCGTTCATTATTTTTTCTAAATTAAAAAAAATGCACGAGGAAAAAATTATGAAAAAAATCAATGCACAATTAAACATCAAGTGAGCAACAAACAGCCGTTACAATCTGTGTTTAGTGGCATTTTTTATTCATAGTTCACACATAACACAATGCATGATATTAGCAGGCAGGAATGAGTTTATTAACCGTACGTTACTGTATAACTTGTATCATTGCCCGAACAAGTCCAAAGCCTCAAAAGTGGGCTATAAAAGCTTGGTATGTAACAGGAATGGAAGAAACTTAGTCAATAAGCTTCCTATCTATGAACGGAGATAAGTGGCAAAGATTTATACCTAGAAGCTTTCGATAGGATTGCTGGGATTCGACAAAAACTAAAAACGCTGTCATGCTGTCATGTTACACTCACATTACTAACAAAATGAAAGGCACTTTTTGAATATTTTCCCTTAGTATGAACTGATCAGCAAGGCAGGTTACCATGGTAACTTGGCAGTTCTCACATAAGCCTGATTCCCATATGAAAGGGGGTTGTCACCGACCACCATCCGGTCGTTGAAAGTGCTTAGTTTTCACTGCTAACGCTTTTTCACCCGCACAATGAAAGCAAGCTTTTTCTGGTTCAAACGTTTATCTAATACCCACGAAGTTACTTTAACTTTCTATAAATTTAAAAATCAAAAATAAGTTTTGTACATAAACATTACTCACTACAAGATAAACCTACGATTTGCTTCATACGCGTAATAAGCAAACCAAAAAAATTAAGAAAATTTCGCTAGTTTTATGGTCGAAGAAAGTGAGTGACTAAACAACTTTCTTCGCTTTAACCACTCGCTATGATAAATGCTACTTCTTCGCTTGTCATGTCATGGTAATTACAAAGTAAAACAGCTAGAAAAAGTCAAAAGAAATACAACTCTAAATTTACAGTTATTCTTTCCATAGACTATAATTTGTCTAAATGTCTGTAATGGTAATTTTCCCGTAGGGCATGTGTTGTCCCACTGAATTCCCCCGATTTTTGTTCAGCAAGATAGTACGACTGAAGTGTTAGATCTTTTGTCCTCTTATCTTTGCTTCTTTGCTTCACGAGGAAAGCAAACAGAAATGAGAGATGTCTGTGGGCTTCACCAATACCGCAGACAGTTAGAATTGCGAGACAGTGCCGTCGCATCATCAAAATTAAGCGTCAGTTGCTGTCTCCTTCAAGGGGGATGCTGCAAGGCTTATTTTACTCACTACACTTCATTTTTATCATGTTTTGCTCTAGTAGGTAAATAACTTAAAACTAAAAATTCGCCTTAGAGCAGGTTTACACTATCATTTCGTTTTGCCGTTTACACGCAGATGCGTGAAACTGAAATAAAAACGCCCCTGTTTGGTCGCGTGTCCGGACGTTTGAATCAAGAATCTAGAGTGAATACTTTAACTGGGAATGAAATGTTATCCTTCTTTGTGATGTGTGTAAGAAACATTCATGAATCTTACGGTCCTCTAGTGTACACCTGGCCTAATTCTAAAATAAATACCGGTAGTCACTTCTACGAATGGCAAACGTACATCAATGCACGTTTCTTGTCTAATTAGCACAGTAACCTGAAACCAACGAGTACCTAGTTTGTATTAAATTGTATCACAAACTTGATTTTAAGAAAACTAAACTCTAATTTTATATAACATAGGCACGGCCATTCGCGGATACATTAGTTTGTCACAAATGTGGTATACAAATTTACCTTACAAAGGTATTTTTATGAGTAACACATAGGGAGGTAAGAATAGTATCTATACGCTATTACTGTCAGTTACTGTAATAACTGTATAACTTTAAAATTCAATAAAATTCTATTTTAAACGAGCTGGATTTAGAGGCTCTGACACATTTTACGACTCTGCTATGTAAGGTAGTATCTTTGTTTATAGTGGAAATGCTCTCAGCTTCTCTAGCCAGTTAACAGGCAATCCAATCAAGTAATCAAAAACAATAATCTAACTGAAATATAGATATAATTAAAATCCCAACTGGCAGGTGGCAACCAGTTGGGTCTTTTCAAGTGTGATCGGTGAGTCAAAAAAAACTGGTGACTGCCAAATAACCACTCCAACTAAATAGTTTGAGCGGGACTCGAAAAGGACCAACGGAATACGGGTCCGACGGTTGTCCGACGCGCTGACCACTCGGTCAAGCTGCCTCCGGTCAAAAACAACAAAACCCGTCAAATATTGTCAGCATCAGTCCTATTTAGGACTGTAGACTCACTCAACCTACTCATTATGATATAACAGTTACGATAGACACTATATAGACTTCTTATTGGGCAACAGCAGAGCCTTCACTATATGGAGTTTTGTCCTTCTGCATCAAAACTATTACAGATTTAAGGGCAGTGTCATTTTGTTTTTTTTAATGGAACACTGAGAATCCAAACGACAAGTTTTTCAACACTGTCAAGAGAAAAATAATGATCTCATTTCATTTTGAATCGGCTATATTGATGAACAAGTGAAAAGAAATTCTTTCCAAATGTCATGGCCGGATAAGAACAATTAAAAAGGAAATGACATCTTAAACGTATTATATGTCCCTAGTTCTTCTCGTAACACTTACATGAAACTAAAACAATTATTCTGCCTCATTCCTTTCATTGAAAGTTTCCTGGATTTTCTCTCGATGGTGATAAAAATCAATAAACGTATGAGAAAGTTGCTCTCGGTCTTTACCATCATAAAATCACAAACTTAAATCGAAACCATGAATTTCTCAAGCCAAGAATTCGAGACGTAAAACACCATCAGCAAAATTAACAGTCTCCGAAGGTCTGGGGGGTTTCCCGTTGTTGAATTATTTGTCATTTGTTATTTGTTTTTAGGGATCAGTACTATATTTGTGTTCTTCGAAGGGAAAAATGGCGGCCGCCAGCATAGTCTGCTGTAGCCCGGCCACGCCCGTTTATTCCTATCCGTACGGTCTTTGGCGGCCGCAATAAAGCGATTAGTCATCCACTTGGAATAAGCAATTTTCACCTTAATATTTTTTAATAATTGGACTGTTCAGAGGGAAAGCGTGACCCGCCATTTTTTTTTACATTAGTAGCGACTCTCTTGGCACCAATTTCAAGTCTCGTGACAAGAAATCGAGCAACTACCTGTATCAGTATGTATTGTCCTGAAAACGGACAGTCCCATCGAAAACGGTTACTTTTTAAGGCTATGTTCATACTATTATCTAATATATGTGACGCTCCACTTTAGAGATCGGAGCGGCGCGGGTTCGCTCCGTTACGTACAGAAATCGCGCCAAAATCACCGTTGGTATGTGTGAACAGAAGCCCCGCTATTTGTTATGGTTTTTGTGTCGGCGCAAAAGCTATCTAGTATAGCATGGTGTGAACACAACCTTAGAATTTGACGCAGTCCCGAAAAAACCGGCTTTGACCTATGCAATAAAACTGTTTCAACACAGCTGGGGACCGAAATTGTCGGATTATTCTTCATGACACTGCCCTTTGAACTAGATCTACACTAGAAATGTCAAGTTAACCCTCAAATCACAAATAACGATTACAGGGGTTTTCAGTGCAGTTGAGTGAATTTTAAAACTTGTCTTAAATAATTACTTTATCATTTTGTCCTATTGATGTAAATACTAAAATACGTTTCTTTGAGTTAAAAACTGCATACGCAAGCAAAAGCTATAAAAGCTAACGATCATAACTAAATATAACACCAGATGATGATGACCTTGTGTAAACAACTATACTGAATTTTAAATTACAAATTTTGAAAATAGATTCTACATAATATACTTTTAATTTTGATCTATCCCTTGAATGTACTTTTGGTTCACGAATTATTGCTTAATTTAAGCCAGGTATTCATTTTAAACTTAAACTGAAAACAAATAAAACAGTATAAACCATGTGTAATTATTTTGTTCCCACTGGAAACGTATAAACCAATAAAATATTTTGGATTTTATACAAAATGTCATATGATATATTATAACGGGCATTGCACAAACGCATGAACCTCTTGTTGGAATTACTGTCTTTACCAAATCACCACTTATATATTCCTGTGTGGGGGTATAGTTAACTCTCTTGAACCCAAACGCTGTCAGGATTGTAATAAAGTGACTTACAGAGGTACGCCATAAAGAGTGTCAGAGAAAGCAACTGAAGAATGGCACAGAAAATCTCTAGGTATCTTTTGGATTGAAGTGGTCATTAGAGAGATGACTGTATTAAGTGACTAGGCTGTTTTTTGTTTCTAGAAGGTAATCCCACTATGTTAAAATGGTGTCCTGCCTTGCTGGTTCAGTTGACATTAACCAGTTTTGAAACTAATAAACCATTAAGGATTAGAAATATTTTACCTGAAAATAAGAGTAGTACAGTATACTTGAACTCCTGCATGTTGACTTCAATCCTGACGTATGAATGATGATGATGACAAGCTAAGTCTCTGTTCAAATACAGGTTTAAAACAAAACAGAAACTGCTAATACTGTTTTTAGGATCAGAAGAAGACAGTGAAAGAGTTTGACAAGGTTAGCATCTAGAGTAAAAGAGAGCATGTGGTAATTATAAGGACTCAAAGAAAGCTACCACAGATTCTCGAATAGTTGAATGCAGCACCATAAGATAACGACTTTCTTTTGCAGCTCATGAAGAAGTAAAATAATTTTGTATCCAAAAGACCAGATCATAACCTAGAAGAAGTTTTTCACCACCAATTTAATTTTCCTCCGACAAACTGGACATTTCTTTTTATTTTCTTTCAACTTTTCAGCACAACCAATGCAGCAAACTTGATGTCCTGTTCTTCCATGTACTAAACTTGCATTTCGAGGTTGCACCAAGCAGATGACGCACAAGTCGGGAGAAAAAGCAGAGTCTTTAGTTTTGGAACTTTTATTATCTGTCTGTTGATGTGTGTGATGTGAGCTTGATTGTCCTTGGTTATTTATTTCTGCTGACGTAGAAGAGCTTGCAGCAAATGATGATGATCCAAGTAGCTGAGTAAAAGTTATTAATTGCGATGACGATGATGATGATGAAGGATTTTCTATAGTTGGTGTTACAGAAAGTGAATGACTTTTTTGCAGTGTTGGGTATGAAGCAGATTCTTCTATTGTTTTTGATGATTCCATGGGTGGTTCTGAGGACAATCTAACAAGAAAGAAAGGCATTGTAGACAAAAATTAATAACAAGTTATCCTTTCAAGACTGTTAAAACTGATGACATCACAAGCAGATCAAGGGAAGTGGATCTGGCGTCACAAGGTTTTGCATGTGGTTCAGGGGCAAATGGGTTGAGGTTCCTAGGTTACAGCAAGATGGCCAAATTATACTTAGTTTTCATTAAAGCTTAGTTCTGACACAAAAATTTGCAACTCTAAGGCAGATGTGTGTGTGTGTGGTGTGGTCCATTTTATGGAACTGCCCACATTTCAGAATGCTTGGGAAGTTATATGTTTTAACATCATCTTTGAAGTGAGGGCTGGTGACATCACCATGTGGGAGGTGTATGCTTGGTCATTTCAAGTGCAACATGGTTAAGCAGTTAAATGGTGTATTAATCAAACACACCTTTTCAAATGAGGAAGCCACTCATGTCTTTCCACCCAGCAGCGTGCACACTGACGAGATAATGGATGGTTTTTGAGGTTACAATGTGGGCAAGACCACAAATCATCTTCATCAATGTCTGAATCGGACTCCTGGCCCTCTTCATACTCGTCCCCACCTTCAGCTCCGGGATCCTCATCTTCTGAGCTGATTACTATCACTACAATGGAAATAACAAACAATATAAGGGGCCAACCATTTGACTTTTGAGGGGGGGGGGGGGGGGGGGTTGGGGGGTTTTTGGAAAAAAAAAAATTTTTATTAAAAAAACCCAAGAAAAAAAATCCCTACTGTCAATTTTTGTGGGGAAAAAAAAACAACACCCTTGTTTTTTTGGGGAAAAAATTTATCCCACAAATTTTTGGAAAATATATTTTTTTCTTTCAAAAAACCACCCTTCCCCCCAAAAAATAAAAAGCCCAAGGAAAAAATATCTCTCATGGCATATTATGTGGGAAAAAAAATCCTACACCGTTGTATGTTGAGCGAAACATTTCATCTCCAGAGCTTTTGGAAAATAATTCTTATCCTTACCAAATCACCCCTTCCCCCTCAAAAGTCAAAAGGTTAGCTCCTAAATAAACATTCACACTTCCATTTTTTTCTCCTCTGGGAATAATCAATATTCACTTTATCAGATACATCATGGCAATCAAGGAAATGATCACTGGATGTAAGAAACCCCACCAGAATGTTTGTAAGAAACCAACTGCTACGATAAAGAAGACACTTTAGTGATATTGGTTCTCTGAAGGGTTAAGGAAACATTTTTTTCTAGTTTGTTACCTTCATCTTCAGATTCTTCGTCTTCCTCCTGCTCTTCTTCGCTATCAAAATCAGGCGGCTCAAATTCCACAGTTTCTATCAACAAAGTTAAAGTTACCTTAATCTTATCAGTCAATAAGCCAATGATCGATTGAAGAGTTATAACCCAATATTTATGGAATATGCAGGATTAGAAATAAGCATTTTCCGGATTGTCAAAATAAGTAAAATCCTATTCTGTGGTTACAAAAATGGAGATTATTTGACCAGACAAGTAAATACTGTTTTCAGTTTTGGCTCAAAATAAAGTAAAAGGATACTTTAAGCCAAGGAGATCTTCATGGCTTGGATTTACTCCAAGTTGAGCAGCATGAAGGTAGGCAGCAGAGATAAGTTTTTGGTCTAAGAAATATGCTGGTATGGCTAATGTGTGAAGCAGGGCATTTAGATGAAAAGATCAACATATGCTACTCTTTACAAACGATGGCTGGCTCCTCTTTGACTTGAAGGAAAGTAATTTGATCTTATTTTCTTGGACAATACAGTCATCTCCTTCAACACCAGCACTGAGCACCTGTTTTAACCATGTGTTCAAGAGATGTGTCAGTGTGTGTGTGTGAGGGTAGAGTTGTTGTTGAATGATAAATTATTGAACTTGAAGGAGAGAACATTTTAGGGAGGCATCCTTCTTATAAAGGTGCCATTAAGACAGAGAGTCCAGTTACCCAGAAGGAATTTGCTTCTGGATGAAAGGGAATTCAACTCAGTGATAGCATTCTGAAAGTTACCAGAATGGTGAAGGATCTCAGAAATAAATTTCCTTCTCTGTGAATGATTTTTAAGACATTAAAATAAACACTCACCATTTAGAAAAAAGAGGTCATCTTCTGAGTCTGTTATGACTGCTGTTACAGCTGAGTCATATCCTTTGACAAAGTAAAGTGCATTGGATGGTTCAGACAGATCACTCTCACTTTCTGATAGCATCACTTTTCCTATGCACCATGGAATATGATGAGGAGGACTGTAGCTGCTGCTTTTCATACCCAAAACATCTGAAGGAATAACACATTAATTAACATCCTTCAATTACAATTTAGCTTAAAGAGTTTCTTTTGAAGGGAAAGAGCAAAAATATTGAAAGGTTTCAGTGCCACTTTTATAATCACAGGTTCATTGCTGGTAGATGAACTTTTCACCTTTCGTAAATGTTTTTTTGTAGTCCATACCTGATAGAGATTCCCTTTTCCGTTTCCTGCATGGCTTTTTAGGCGTGTTACAAAAGCTACCTAAAAGAGTGGAAGAAGTAATGATTAACAGAGTACAAAGTGCCAGAGGAAAAAGGATCGATGGATCGATGACATGATACATAACACAACCAAACCTTTAATAACAAGTTAACTCACAATTCCCAACAGGGACAAAAAAAGGGGAACAACTGAGAAAAGCCTAACGGGCGTGTGAAACATGCCTTTCACAGAAGTAGTGCTGACTCGTGCTGGCGAAGAGAGTTGTGTCCAGTAACCAGCTGGGGCTGCTAATTTTTATGGTCAGGCTGATTCATAAATTACTCTTTAGTTTAGGCATTTATTGACATTAAATATAAATCATGTTAATAAACATGTTTTAGCCAGTACAGCCTCATCACAACTTGATCCCTGAGGGTCAAGCTGAAAAATTTACTTTGTTTGTACCCTGCACTGCTTTCTGATTGACTTTAATCCATTATAACAACAAACTTATTTAAACACATTGAATAAAACACTTTGAAAAAATCTACAAAAAATTGTGAAAGTTAATCAGGAAATTATTTGCAAAATGCAATCTGGGAGAACTTCTGTACTGTGAGTCTTGTATTTTTGCCAATGGGTATCATGTGATTCAACACTGTAGAGGTTGTAATGTAACAAGTGAATCAACAAATGTGGCAACTTAAATGTTGTACTGTTGGCCCATTCGGTTCTTCAGTAATTTTCTTCCACTCTCTTCTAAGTTGGACATCCTCAGTCACGTTAATAATTAAGTATCCAACCTACAAGGAATAGCACTTTGCTAGATTTTTATTTGCTAACCTGGGTTAGTAGCCTAGCCTGAAAGCTAATTTAACTTGAGAATGGATTTAACATACATTTGTACTTAGTTACATTTCATTACAGAAAAGGATCATATAAAACAGTACAATGAGAATGTTTTTTAAATTATGACTGGAGCATGAAAATATCACAGTTCAGTCATTCTGTTGTCATTGTTTCAAAAGCTGTCAATTTGTATCACAAGTGTGTAGGGTGTAGCTTAGATGAGTGAAAGGTTCCAAGCTAAGTGTTTTTGCAGAGCAAATTAATATCAACTATTTTAGAGACACAGGTGCAGTCGGTTGGGTTGGGAGAAAAGTCCGTGACCACTCGTGTTTGAAAACTTTTGTTGCACCTTTTCTCCTGACCAACTCTGGGTCTCCAAGGATGTAAACAACATGTACAGATACATTACCTTGCTCATTGTCTGAACTGTCACACTGTGGAGCTATCAATATCTCACTGAAAGACAAAGATAACGTTAACATGACAGTTTATCATCAGTTTTCTCTCTTAGCTGAGTCCTTTTAGTGGTATCAAAACTACAGAGCATATTAAAGTATCAAGGGGAACAACTGCTAAATATTTTTCACTTGAATGGTCAAGTCTGAGGATTTGCAAACCTGAAAGCTAGAGTTGTATAGCACTGACTTGATAAAAGAAATACAAAGCATCAGCCGGAATCACATTGCCTAAATAAGTAAGTAACTGAGAAACAAATTAATTCAAAGAAGGCAACCCACAACAACAATCACTTATCTCTTTTGCACGCATGAAGACCTAAGTTTTTATTAGTACAAAAGAAGAGAACAATGTTAAGAGAAATGAAAGGTATTGAGCTGTACAACGTACATTAATTTTCATAAGGTGGATTTTACGTTATAGATCTGTTTATACAATTGATAATTGATTTTTGAGGGATAACTAAACTGAACTACCCTTTATACAAGACATTTGATGAGCAGTTTTCTTTTCAGTGCCACTGCTGTAGACATTCCCCTAGTGACAATGAATCAAAGTATCATGATTCATGCTTGAAAATATAAAATCATTTTGTTTTATTCACTACTTGTTGTTTCATCTTCCTTGTGTGTATGTGAACTATAAACAGCTATAAACAGTTCCCTATCTGTGTAACCAGAAATGAGACCCAACAACATGAAAGAGAAGAACTACGTTAATTGATGATTTAGTTTCAACAAGTAGATCCTCAAGAAAACTATGTCAACCACAATTAAGTATGCTGGCTCTTAGCCCTGCATAGCTTAAAAGAAGAAGACTGACTTCATTAGCTTTAAGACAAGTAGTTGAAAAAAACTTCTTGGTAAGAGGTAAACCATTTTAATTGTAATAAACGTAAGAAAAGCAGATAAATTAAAGCTATGTGAAATAGGCACCAAAACTGAACATATCAGAAAGTCCACTGGAGATTACAATGGATCAGCTTTAAACTATGAGATCCAAATGATTGCATTTCAACCTAATGCAGCTAGAATCCTGCTTATGCAGCTTCATGCAGAGTCTTAACAGTTAATCTATTTATTGTCTACAAAAGGACAAGAAGTGAACCCCTGTCTATTTGCTCCACCCTCAGTGCACACTACAGGAGAAGCAAACCTGTTCAAGTTCTCAAAACATCCTGCTTAAGGAACCCCAAAAATGCATAATATCTTCAGAGATAGGGTCCTCCTGCTACAGAAAACTCTGTAAATAACGTACAGGATAATCTTCTGAACATGACAAATATGTAAAAATTGTTTACTACTGTACATTCAACATTAAGCTATGCAAAAGACCTTGGACACTTTGGTAATTATCCAATGACTTATGCAAATGAATGGGTAAAACGTTTTTGAGCAATTTAAGTTTAAGAATTACTGTATGTTGTGCATTGACCATGTACAAGCGAGATTAGATTGACATTCTTGAAGAACCACTTTTTAATGCTAAGTTTATTTTCCAGATATTGAAATCGGGGGCGAACCTTTTTTTTAAAAGGTGCTCAACATTGTTTTCTCCCAGGCACTGATAAGCTTATATTTTATTGGGCAAATGAACTTTGTTTGGACACGTTCGAAAGACAAGCCTTGGCCTGCAACATAAACCAATACCGCAAGTTAGCAATCTTCTAGAAAAATACGATATCCAGTCGATATTCCTCGCGATCCTTTATCTAGAAGCAGTTGCTGTCCTTGGTCTTCAATTTTTGTACATAGCCTTGCAAAATGCAAATAACACGAGGTTCTGTAATCACGATGCGTGTATTTTTCAGTCTTGAAGAGAATGTCACAACTAAAGTGTTATCTCGCAAGCCAATAAGTGCCGAATGTTTCTGTCTTTTATCGTGAACAAGAATTCCAAGATCGACAAGCACAAAATCTAGCAACAGAACAATTCCACGATAGTATCGCAAAAGTTTCAGAACTCGAAACCATAGATATAGAAGAGATCGCAAGTTTACAACGAAGTGGCCTGTATGAAATCTAGACCAGGCAGCTATAGACATTCAACTCCATAATCCCTAAACAAAGTGCATTGTGATCTAATGTAAGCGAGAAGGAAGAAAAACAAGAGATATAGTGGAAATTAGATACGGGTTACAGGCGAGCGTGGGAAAGCGACCTTTAGAGCATTTGGTACTCAACAACTTCATCGGAGATTAATTCGGGCGCGTGGCGCCATCAGTAAAAAAACATCTCTTCTGATAAGTAATATAAATGTCATAGACATCTCACGATTTTTAGTAATTTTACCAAACATAAAACGCACAGAGAACGACATTTTTCTCCATGGACACTGCATATGCAAATGTACAAGCACGTTTGAATGAAGAAAAAAATTTTACAACATTAAAATCAACTTAAGCTTAAAAAGATATGGTATCTTTTGTTTCCCCAATTTCTTGTCGGAGTTCTAAGTTTCTATATATTTTAGTCTGAATTTTTTTCTACATTTTAAATAATTTTCAACCTTTTATCTGACACAGAGATATTTTTACGTGCCTGTTTACTTTGATGTGTCCGTTCGCATTCGAACAAAATTACGAAACTTCAAAAATGTTTTACTGCAATGGATATAGTAATCACAAAAAAGGTGAATCAAAATCTGTCTGTTAAATACCATAAACGGAGGCACCATACAAAACCACGATTTCAAGAGAAGGTTTTAAAATCTCGAAGGAACGTAAATGTCTATCGGTGCCATAAGCTTAAATGAAAAAAGAAATTGTAATTATCAATCGTACTCAAACATTTCTAACTTAAGAGAATCACTGCAAATAAAAAAATACCTTTAAAAGGCAAAGAAAAGGTAACAAGAATGCGGTTTTGATGATTATAACTTTGTAAAAATCCAAGGTAAGCTCTTACTATATCACAGTAACTCTGGACATTCTAAGTTATAGAAGCCCTTACGATTGTTGTTCAAAGTTCAAATAACCCGACGGTTTACGACCCAGGGAATGAACAAACCACCGACAAAACTTAATTTGTTAGCTAAACTACTTACCAAGCCTTCTTCTTCTCCACAAGGCCGCCGTCCATAGCCTTCCTGCCCTTGCCGTCCTTCAAGCAGTCCGTTCAACTCACATGTATTTTTCCCTGCCGTTCTCGTAAAGCACTAAGGAGAATTTCTTCAAGATCTAAATCCTCATTTATTGTTTGAGCAATTTTGTTGAAATAAGTTCGATAAAATCGTACAGACGTCAAGCAATCTCTAACAGTAAATCAAGGCTGGCGAGGCTGAAGTTGGATGATTGTCTGTTCCTTCAGAGTTTTGCTTGAACACGCTTAATACATAGTTCTATTTTCTCCCAAGGGTCGCAAAAGCTTTGGATCGAACCGGAAATGATCCGGTTTGTCAAAATAATAGTGAACCTCATTGAACCTTATGAACTTGTCCAAGCATGCCCTTGCAACCATTGGTTATCTAAGTTTAGCTAAAAATTGATTGGTTAACAGTTGACAAGTTCAAAGAAAGGTCAATTAATTTCATTTCACTTTCGCGCGCTTTTTAGCACGTGTTCTTCAATGAACATTTTTCGCGCTCATCAAATTTGACTTATCTTGTCGTCATGGACCAGTGAATTCAAAATTGGGTAACAATCCCGCGGCGTACTTTTGGTCCTTTTGTAGAAAATAAATTATTCGCCACTTGCACATCTCCCATAATGTAGCTTATTTGCCCCCCGAATTTTGTATAACCTTTGTTTTTCATTTTTCCTGGGTATTACAGCTGTCTAAAGAGAAATTGAAAACAATGCTTATGCAAAATTTTGCGGGACAAATAAGGTGCATTATGGGAGATGTGCAAGTGGCGAATGCACAGTCCAAAAGCAGGCTCCTGGCACAGTGAAATGGCGTCAAAAAAATGTTGTAAAGTACCTTGTTAAGTACAATATAAGCCACAAGGAAATCACAAACAAAAAACAGCAGGCCCATCCGGAAAAGAAAAACAAATCGTCAGTTAATTTCAGTACGAAATTTTCAGTTTGTTGACGGGGTGTTCCCGACAAAGGCAGTGTTGACTGTTCTTATCGTTCAAGGAGGTGAATGTAAATGGCAATGAATGTGAATGGTAATTTTAAAAAAGTCACAGTTGCAAAGTGGCCTTGATGAAGGCCCGGGTGTTGTTGGGGTGGGGGGGGGGGGGGGCCCAAAAAAAACAAACAAGACACAATAAAGAAAAAAGATAAAGTTGTATGTTGGTTGAGGTGGTAAATGTTTGTGTGTGGGTGGTGGAGTATTAGAAGGTGTGAGGGTTGGTTGTTATGTGGTGGAGGGTGGGTAAAATTAAAGAGAAAGTGAAGGAAGGACAAATAGTAGAAAGGGGGGGGTGGGAGGGGGGGGTGGGGGGGGGGGGGGGGGGGGGGGGGGGGGGGGGGGGGGGGGCACTCCCTTATTTGGCCTCAGTTCTAAACGGTTATGTGCCCGGCGCTTGTTTATGCAAGGATCAGTGTTCAGGGAGTGGTTTGACCATGACAGGTCATATTCCACAGGTCATGATTACAGGACACTATTTTATTGATAGGTAAATTAAATGCCCTTGATCAAAAACAACATTTTGGATAGGGATTAGGGCTAGCACACACTTATGATCCTTTTCATTAATCTGTAGCACGGCGACCTATATTCTGACCTGTGGAATGTGACCTGTAAAATATACCTGCTGCCAGCTGTGAAGGCGGCGGCGGCTGGCGATGAGCAGTCTACATGTGTGGCACCAACCATTTTCTTTTGATGTTATGTTTAAAAAATTACTTAATTCTGTATTGAAAACAAAATGAATCAGGGCCATGAAATAGGGTCTCTTGTCTAAAAAGGGTAGGTTAGAGAAATGAAAAAGGTTCGCCTTAACCAGGGTTAGAGTTTGAAGGCCATGGTAGCACACCTCTACCCAAACTTACCTTAAGTGCCCTTCCCCCGACCCACCCTTAGGTGCTGAAGTTAATAATTGAAGACTGGAAATAAGCTACAGACAGTGTGTAAATAATGGGAATGAATTATTTTGATCACAAGGCATTATTGGCTCCTTCAATTTCCAGGGGGATCGTCCATATCATGGCCTATTCAGGGTGGGGGCTCTGCACAAAAAGGGGTACTTTTTTCAGTCAGCTTCCCAAATATACAAGGGCAGGAATTTCACGAGCAGAGAATATGAAGTGGTATAAAAATCGGTTATTTTGGTGTTTAAAAGGGACTTTAACTAAAATATTTTGAACCGATGCTGATGTATCTTATGGTTAAATCTTTTTAATGCCATGTATTATGTCAAATAAACTTACCATCAGTAAGTGTGTGAAAGGGGCACCATTTTTCATTTGAAGGCACACGGAAGGGTTAGCTTTGCTGTCAAAAGGGTGAAGGGGTTGGACTTCTGAACCCCCCCCCCCCCCCTTTGGGAAAAGTAGTTCTTATTTTATGAAGAGGGGGGAAAGGAAAGGGTGGAATGGGTTTAAGGAAAGCT